TTTGAGAAGACAATCTTGAGAGAGAAACAGAAGCCATCATTAGAATACACTCTGGTTTGATGCACTAGTTCACTGAGTTGACTGCACTTATATCAGCTTTCCAAAAGTTCGGTCGAGCTGAGGTTTTGGCCCATGATGCTGTTGCTATGAACTTGAAATTGAGCAAAGTGTGATCACTTCTTCCTACAGGAGGAGGATGCTGTATGAGGCCCATATACTCACCATGGGAGAACACTGGCTCCAGAGTTGAAGAGGAGTGTTGTGGGTCATAGAGCGTGGGCCCCATGATATGTTGGACTAGGGCTAACGAAATGATAGATTCCAGCAGTTTATGATCGAAGGAGTTGTCTGAAGGTGGCGTCGTAAGGCTTGTCCAATCAACTGTTCGGGCGTCGAAGTCGCCGACTACGAGACTTCGACATTTCGGTGTTCAGGAGCCTAGCTTCTCTATTAGGAAGTCATCTGCACTGTAGTCAGGACTGCGGTATACAGCAATGAGGTCAATGTCTTGGCCCACGCATTTAAGTCTGCAGCGTAGAAGTTCACACGGTTCACTCTTGTGAGCGAGTGCTTCGATGCTACGTACGGTCAAGAATTTCTTGAGGTAGATGACTACGCCACCACCTTTACGGCTTAGCAGTTCTACCCTATGCACTTCGAAGTTTGCCAGACTAGCTTCGTTAGCAGTGGCATCGGGTGTGAGCCATGTCTCTGTGGTGATAATTACATCCGCGTCTCCGGAGTCTATCATGTTAACCAGCTCAGTCCGTTTGTTCAACAGGCTACGGGCGTTTGTGTAGCAAACTGTCAATTTAGTTTGGTGCTCCCACAGCCTACCCCCATGAAAACTTAATAGCTTCCGGTACTCTTATACCAAAAACACCTCCAAAAGTATCCGCAAATGCATACTGACCTGCCCCATGCATACACAGAATACCGCAGTCAGACCATCTCAACACGTCATATAAGGAACTGACATTTTCAGACAATTCAGATACGTGGTACGTTTTTAGTGGCAGTTGCTTATATTCAAAAAATTTCCAGTTGGGACTTCACCGGAAAATTGTGACCACGGTAAAATAATACACCAAGCTTAGAAAAATTCTCTCAAATTACAAACTAATGCTTAATCCTATAGTGAGTAGATTGTAAAATGGCTTGACACTCTGTGCTGTTTTTCGCCTTATCCTCATTAGTTCAGCGCCTACTGGCATTTTTCTAAGCAGTATTTCAGAGTTTTCATCCCCGATTCAGCACTGGACAGTATTATTTCAGCACACCTTGGTATAGTTCAATGTTAAGTGGAGTTCTTTAGCACTATCTTGATTACTTCAGCACATACTAGGTTTCTCCAGCATACAAAATAATCCTTTAGCACTAGAATGCATTGTTGAAGCAAAGTACAGGATCAGTTCAGCAATATTGTAAGCTTGAGACATGACAGTTTGCAATATGCAGACGATCAGAAATGGGGTCGCAATTCAAAGGCTGGTCTTGACCTTGGAACAGGTATCTTGATGCCTCCGTGCGTCCTCTTTCCATCTATCAGACTTAAACACTTGTGGATATTGGCCCTAGCACTGATAGTTTCATTTATCATAGTCGATCACCACGATTTTTCGTTAGTTCCAATCTGGGCTTTCCATTTGAATGGCACCAAACCTGTTCAAAATTAGGCCAAGTTAAACTTTAGACACCAGTAACTACCAATCGGCGAACGACGTCGAATTATCCAATGAGATTCACGAACGTAGTTCAATGTTGTATAGCGCTTGATTCATTTCAGTGCGTGCCCTTACAAGGTTACGTTTACATATTGAGGAGGATATTGTCTTTCAGTATTGCCTGGACTTAGGCTTGTTTCGAAAGGAGAGAAGTTGTTCGTGTGGTTGTGTAATGACTCTAAAAAAATACTATTTCAACTGATGGTTTTGTACATCGTTGAGGAATATGCTGGAAGCGAGTTAGTATTAGAGAGGGTAATAATTTGTAGGAACTTTTGCGCTAGGTCGCATCTCTCCCTAACCTAGATTTTGTACATTTAAAATTACTGGCTACTGAAACAGTCCGTGAGAGCCGCTGCTCCCGAGACGGAAAACAGCGTCGTCTCGACAGTTCAGTGGTACCAGCACTGCAGAGATATCGCCTCATGGAAAATGTACAGAATTGCTTCGTTGTTAGGCGGAGACGATGTAGTAGTCCTTGTGTATGAGACAGTGTTGGTGGAGAAGAAATATAACTGCGGTCGTCAGAGAGCGAACAACATTTGGGTTATAGGTTTATACGACACGTCCCTCCGAAAAAGATTTGTTGAAAAAATAGGAGACAGGAAGACGACTACTCTGATACCTTTTATGAAGCGACTTGTGAAGCCGGTATCAATTGTACATACCGACGAGTGGAAAGGCTATGATGTGGTGTGACTTCTCTATTGACAGTCCCACGCTGAATTGGGAAATGTTTCTCTCCCATGTTCGGGAAAGAAACCCACTGTAACCGTTTTATCAATTTTTTATGTATTTTTCTATAAATATACGTTACCGCTTATCATAAACGCCTATTTCATGTCATTGGTCCGTTCAAGGTCGTTTGCTGATTGGTTGTTACTGGTGTCTAAAGTTTAACTTTGCCCAAATTTATTCAAGTGATAGTTATGTTTTTCCATCAAATACCATTGTTGAATATGTACACAATGGTTACAGCACTTTCATGTCAGTTGTCGCTTCTACCTCTGAATATATTTCCTTTGAGCTTCCTATGATGGAAACCGTTGTGAACTCAATTTCTGGGCTTGATTGGAAAGCAACTAAGTTTCTGGAATTTCGGAAAGTTGTGGGTAAAGGCTTTCGTGGACATACGTTGCGAAAACGATCTCTCAACTACAAAAACAGACTAGTAACTAATTAATTTTTTCAATAATCACAGTAATTGATCAAGATACACGTTGTTGTAGAGGTCTGCAGGTTAAAGTCGGACATGAGGGAACTTGTTGTTGAAGTGGCACTATACGACAACCGTTTTGTAATGATGTGGGAAAGACTTTTGTATCGGATACGAGAAGAAGAATTCATGACGGATCCGAAATCAACCTCAGTCTCCTTATCAGTCGTCCCGACTTGTGGTTTAGTATATCCAAGACAATGTGGAGTGGTTTTCGTTGGATTTCCGACAAACACGTAAGTTTTCTGTCATATGTTATTTTCAAGTCATTTCAACTAAATAGTTCAATTGACCTCCTGTAAGCTCAAGTAAACTAGAATGTCAGGTGTTATGAACACATTTCTAAAGCACTAACCAGGTGGACATTCATCGTTTTGTGTTTTCAGGTGCTTCCAGCTAATAAGCGTAGCTCAGGTACTTCTTGCGTGTAGGTCTTGTCAAATCGTATGTAGTTGTCTAGAAATTCAATGGTCGAAATAGATCCTTATCTAATTATGTACTGACGTTTGCTGCTATCATGGTAATCAGAAGTACATATTCATATTGAATGCAAAGCACATTTTGAAGCTTCAGTGGAGTATTACTCTAACAAACCGACTATGTTAATCATCTACAATTTAGTCCGGATAATCAACACAAGGTCTTAGCATAAGGAGAAACATAGTTTTAATCGGCGACCACCAACATCAAGCCAATGATGGATACAGATATATTATTTTGCCGTAAGTTATTGATGGTGGATTCTCCTAGGGCATGTCTATGGATTCTGATCATTCATTAGCTTGCACACGCATGTGTATCACTAAATGGAAGAAAAAAGTTAACAGCAGCGAAACCCTTACATATCTAACTTCATGATGAAAATCTGTGGTCTGTGTTTCTACAGGAGTTAATTAAACTTATATGGGTATGGCAACAATACTTATCTTAAGGAAGCCTACTACTATATTTAGTATGCTTTAGAAATAGTAGAGATACCCGATAACCTACAACCAAGTATTGATAAAAGCCAGTGCATTAACATGCCTTCTAACAAAGTGACTAACTCAAGGAGAATGACCTCTGCTACCTCTCGACATGATGGGGAGTGAAAGTTGATTAAATGTCAGTTGACTGAAGATGTTTTAACGACTATGAAAAATGGTGCCCAACAAAGGTGGGAGAAACAGAAATGGTATCAATACTAGTAATATTCCTCAACCTTTTAGGTTTATTGGGGGAGTGAGGGTTGGTCCTAAAGCCCTATGGTAATTGAAACGACCTTTGATAAACGGTGGAACATTGATAACTTCACAGGAGAAAAGACCAGAGCGCTGAGTTCTGCTGACCTCAAGCTCCAAAATAGTTGTTCACCACCTAACTCTGTTATGAATGAGATTTTAAATTGTGTTAAGCATCGGTACCTGATTGTATGACTCCAGAGGAGTTTAACGACTGTGGTGATAAATTATAAAGGATATGTGACACTGGTTACCCCATATTGACCAATCAGTGTATATTAATCACCAAGTTAAAAACCGCTAATAAAACAAGAGTGACTCAAAATCAAAATATATTTTTTCTATTCATTTTTTGAGTTTTGTCGCTTTTTCTTGTTTTGAACTATCAGATGAATACAGAGGATGAGGTAAAATCTCCTCACTAGATATAATATATCATAAACGTTGGCAATAATTTTTGAAAGGCTGATTTGAATTTCGATATATGCAAATAGAAAGGTATGGTTGCTATCCGCTTTTCGCAACTGAGTAGAACAAAACAAATTGAAGAATTGCATGACCATTGCAAGGGTGGCACAATTAATCGTAAATAAAAGAAATACTTTCAGTTATTTACAGAATGATCATGAACGTATTAACAGTATAAACACACTCATATTGTACCATCAAACATTGTTTTCTCATTTAGGAAATAGATCAATAAAAGCGTCATTTAACTCTTGTAGAAAAGTTGGATTTCAAATTAGTCTTAATCAAAATGAATTCAGTGGATTTTAGCACAATTTCCAGCTTACTGAGCCATTTTTACGATGAGTATCATTAAGGGTTCTTCAAAAGATACTATTGTACCCAGGATAGAAGTTTATACCTTAAGTAACGTTTTTCAAAATCCACAGGCTGGATCATAATCTCAGCTTCGTTATACATACTCGTCATACTTGCTCGTTTCGTTAAACGATTAACACAAATTTCAGGAGATGGAAATTTTAAAGATGTATCTAATTTATCTGTAGATCCATAGTTCTTGGTAGTAGATGGTGGTGTGTTCAAACGAGACGATTTACTACTTGACTCTGCATCACTCGAAATTGGTTCACTAGCCAGCTTGCTCCTATTTGTTGAAAAAAAATAACAAATACGTTAATAAATACTTCATTTTAATGGTGTCTGAGTACAAACTTTGTGGACCGATGGGTTTTTCAATGACTGAATGCAGCAATTCAGTTTCTCCTTGTTTTCTAATGTCCTATGGATCCTCTAAGTAGCCTAATCTAACCTTCAGGTTACAGAACAACAGTCAGAAATGTTGTAGATGTATGTTATTTGTCATGTTCTTTCTGTTCTACTTTATTGTTATGAAACGTAGTTATCGAGAATAGATATAAAAAGGTCAGCCCCAGCTCAAGTTATGGTGGCTGGTGGAGCAATGTAGTAAATGTAGCCTAATGTATCCATCAGGTTACAGAACAATAGTCAAATATATTGTAGATTTATGTTGAAGACTAATTATCTCTTTTAACCTAATCCTAAATCATTCAGGATTTCTAATGAAAACATCGCTGACTGAAGATTTCAGTAGAAATGCAAAATCTCGCCAAAGTGCATGTTTACCTATTATTCTACAGACCACCTCATCAATATTGACGTACAAATGATTATATTAAAATGCTTATAATTTGAAGTCCTTAACTTTTCTGCGTACAATGGCTTCATGATGCAAGTAAACAGGATAAAGCAGATTTTTATTCATCTTGTTCTGGAGATCGTGAGTAGTTTAAGCGAATCACAAGCTTTTCATTCAAGAGAGAAGCCAGCAAGAAGAGAATTAAGTCAAGCAGAGAAAAGTATTTACGATAAATACCAATGATCTTCATAAATTAAGGCAATAGCTCTCACTTGCATTAGCTGCAGTAGATGTCTTCGGTTAATATATTATACTTAGTAGGCTTTCAGGCACTATCAAAATCCTTACTGATATCCCTCATTCATGCCAAAATATGGCGTCAGATATTTAAATTCCAAAGACACATGATGGTTTGAGATGTGTCCAAAAAACCTCACAAGACCAGATATCATTCTACTGCTTACTGATACTCATTGTTTCGTAATGATAATTGTCCAATTAAAGATCAAGAAATTCAAAAAACGTACATTTCAGTTTCATTCATTAGCGGAATATCATCAGGCAATCTCTCTGTTTTTTTGTTTTTCTTACTGCAAGTATTTGCAACAGGGAAATTTTTTGGTAAGCTGAAGTGTCCTTGTAAATCTTGACATACCCCTTTGTGTAACTGACGTGTTTTGAATATTTCATTTAATACACGCTTTTCATGGACTAATTCACATTTCTGATCTATATTTTCAGACAGCTGAACTTCTAGACACTCCATATACTGGCGATCATTTAAAAAAAATAATTGCGTTCCTAATTCACGTAACAAATATCTGCAGTGTACTTCGATGGAAGAACGCTGTTTGAGAAATCCGCAGTTTGGTTGCAAACAAAACGAGAATGCATTTACTAGTCTATAGCGATTTAAAACTTCATTAACTGACACTTTAGGTGTAATCTTTTCTTTCCAAACTACCTGATAACGAGACATTCGACTATCAGTTTGCAAAAGTTTTTGAAGAATACCAACACCATGGATACGAGGTGCCGGTTTCGTTCCACTTAACCAATGAAGTCGACGATAATTGCGGTGGAATAATTCCTTTCCAGCAAGTTCTTCAAAAAATTCTTTGATGAAATCTGCATCGTTGGAGATTTTTTCAGGTATATCAAAGCTTTCGATACGTCTTGTAATAGACGGATATTTAATGCATTTAGACGGCTGGAGCAAATCTGCTTCAGGATGTATGATGCACAAATTTCGAGTTTCTTCATCTGGTACATAATTAGTATGACCAAATGCCATTTGAGGACTTATTTGATGTAGGCGTAATCCAATTTCAGGTTGCTCCGTTTCCCCTTTCATAATGTATTCCAGCCTTTCAGTGTTTTCGTAAAGTTAACGCGATAGAAGTATAGCATATACTGTCGATTACTGTTCATGTGACCGAATTGATCATCCTAATTTGAAATGTGCAAGGTATTGTCATATCAGTTCACATATAACAATTTTAACGTGGTGAATGAAGTTATGATAAACAATAAAATGTCTGTCTTTATAGCAGGATAAAGCGGGGGAAAAGAACAAGAGGTAAAATCAACTGTCAAATTGTGAGAATAACCTTTGACACTTGAAAAAAACCTGATTCCTGTGTCCTCTGATATTTATCAAAATATAACAGTAACTTGATAAAGGCTTTACAGATGATTGTTTCTGATTACAGAAATCAATGGGAAATACTACAAATATACCCTAAAATTTCTGTACTTTTAAAAATGAATTCAAATCTGGATTTAAGAAAAACGCGTAAACGGCGAAGAAAATTTTCTTTTCGACGGTTCATTTTCATGAGCTATACAATCGTAATCATATTAAACAAAAAAATCTTTAGACCAATCACATACGGGTAAACTTTGTCCTCGAAAAATGTAATACACAAAGTAAGGTGTGAGAAGGGATGACTAATTGTAAGTTAGAAAAAAGGCTGAAGTCGGCATGACGTAATAAGTGAGATAATGACTAATCAATAAACTCATGTAGAATGGACAGGAACTAGTTGAAAGGCGATAAAGTGTTTTTATACAAAATCTGTATGAAAAAGCTATGTTATTAATAAACAGTAATAGTATGGTAATAAAATAAATAAAAAAAATAAAAAATATGGATGATGTGAATAATAATGATAGTGAAATAATAGTAATGACAATAATAATAGTGAACTTACATAATAAAAAAGAAGAAGCAAAATTGTAGTAAGAACTTTACCCTGGCCACGGTAGGTCGAGAGAATGTGTGCATTGCTTTTGAATGCAGAGGTCCGGTTTCAGATCTCAGATAGCTAATGCATCAGCTATGTACAGATGGCGTATAAATGAAAACGTTGCGACGACACTACTTCACAACTAACAAAAAGCCTGAAACCATCTGAAACTGCTTCATCGTTTCCACAGAATCCTGAAAAATATGTCTTTAATTTTTCGGATTTTCCTCTCACTCCCTTTCAAATCCATTGCTATCACTTGCTCCAAAATTTTGCAATGTATCGAGTAAAATCAACGAATTACAATCCAAAGTGCAGTTCGACAATTTAATGTCACAGACATTCGATTTTCTGCCTACTACTGAAAAAGATCTGGATCAATTCAAAGCTTCAAATCTTGACAGCTGCTACAAGTACATTCGTACACGACCGAGCCACCGTTATCTGCTGACCAAGGAACACAGAAAACAGCCTAAACAACTTCACGAAAATAAAGACATAATCCTCGTCCGTCCTCATAAGGGCAATGGGATCGTAGTAATGAATAAATCCGACTGTAGTGAGAAATTGACAGATATATTATGAGACAACACCAAATTCTTCGAATCTACCAATCAGAAAGACACAACAGAAGGAAGAGGAAACCTACTTGCGAAATTGCTGAAGAGAATGAAAGAAGATTCAGTTATAAAATCGGAGGTTTGCGAGCAAATAAAACCATGTAGTTAAACTATTCCAAGACTGTACGGACTGCCTAAAGGGCATTAGGAGAATGACCGACTTCGACCAATCATAGATATGGTTAACTCACAATATCATCAGATCGCAAAGTGGCAACCTGATATCCTTGAACCAGTAAGAAGACATATGACAAAATATATCCTCAGCGATACATCTGACTTCGAATTTGAACAAAGCAAGAACTACAGTTTTAGCAGAATAAAGTGGTACCATCTTTTATTTTGTTGGCTTCTTGTCAGCTGCTGACAGGGCAAAGACATTATTAAATATATCAACAAAAACAATTTTAACATACTTGCACAGAGTTCATTTTAAACAAAAATCAATCGATCAATATACGCATACACTAATTACATATATATATATATATATATATAATATTAAACACTATTCCGAACAATAATAATCATACACAATGGAAACTTTTCAGCATTTCGCATTCGGATGAAAGAGAGATAAAAAATATCCAGTTACCAGAACAAAGAAAGACTGATAACTGCTTCTTTCTGAACGCATAAATCAGGTTTCAGGTGCTTGATGGAGATGGCTTCAGCTAACTTGAGGAGAATTGAACTCTTTTGCCTATTGATAATTTTGAACGATCTTGAGATGTCCACCTCATGACCCATGTCAATGAGATGCTTAGCAATGGCAGTGTTTACAGCATTTGTTCCGTTTAAACATAGGCTCTTTGGTACATGTCCAGAAAATCGTAGATATGCCCTTCTTTCTGTTCTTCCAATGTAAGTGCTCCCACAGATACATGTAAATTTGTATATACAGTTGGAGTTAACATGAGAAGGATATCTATCGATTTTTGATTGCACCAAGGAGCAAGTCGTTCGATAGACGGGAACGAGCTTAACTGCAAGATAGGCTGTGGCTAGTGATGTACTCAGCCTTCTGTCGACCATTGCTGCAATGTTTTCACCTTTATAATCAAGCCGAAAGTAGATTGGCTTTTTTCCCACTGTGATTTGTTTTACATTTGTGACTTCAGATCTTCCATACTTGTTGATGAACCTTTGAGGGTACCCATCGCTTTTAAGTGTCTTTTCAAGAAACTCAAATTCTTCCTCTAATTTCTCTATAGAGCATATTCTCCTCGCTCTATAGTACAGAGTCTTGACTAGACCACGTTTAAAGCTATTTGGACAAAAGCTATTAAAATGTAAGTATTGTCCTTTCCATGTAGGCTTTCGATAAATTGACTTCTGAAGACTACCATCTTCTAGGTGTTGCATGGCAATGTGGAGGAGGTGGAACTCTCCATCACTTTCATGTTCCATAGTAAATTCAATATTGGTATGTGCGTCATTGAATTATCTGAGTAAGTGGGAAGCATGAATTTCATTGTTGCACACCGCGGATGTGTCATCAATATATCGATAGTAGGAAGTTGTTTCGTCGATTGCATGCTTCAACTTTGTTCTTTCAAGGTTGGACATGAATACAACTGCTAAAATAGGGCTAAGTGGACTTCCCATAGCTACCCCATCTATTTGGCGGTAAAGAGTGTTGTCCAGTTGGAAGTGCACATCCGTGGTACACATAAGCACTAGGCGATTGAATTTCGACTCTGGGAGTGGGAGAAGATCAGACTGCTGACAAATAATCTCAATAGTTCCATTGATTGGAATAATTATGAACAAAAAGGTTGCATCAAATGACATCAAGAACTTATTTAAAAAATTCATGTGGTTCACACTTTCAGAGAGATGAAATGAGTCTTTCATAGTGTGAACGCTTAGCCGTTGACGAATAGGTTCCAACTTCTCCACAAGCCAACGTGCCACCTTATGTTGGGGTGAGTCGATCATCGAAATTATAGGTCTCAGGGGAACTTGCTTTTTGTGTATCTTCGGAAGGCCATACATGTGTGGCAAGCGGGACCCTCGGGTTTTCAAATCATTGTACGTATTGTTGTCAATTAGTTTCTTCTTTAGAAGATCTTTCAGTGCGTTTGTGATACGCTTTTCGACTGCATCTGTCTTATCTTTCTGGCAATTGTCAACTTTAAACCTCAACCGGTCATTTAACACAGCTTTCATCTTTTCGATGTAGTCCTCTTTGTTCATCAGCACCACTCCTGAGCCTTTGTCAGGTCGCAATATAACATTATTCATTATTGAGAGAGAGAGCTTTCAATGCTCTTCAGAAAGGACTTTGGAATATGACATCGGAGAAATGGGGTATTGATTTGCAACGTCTACGATCTTAGTTTTGAACCAGCTTCTCTTGCCATCAACAACTGGAGTAAGATCACTCAGCTGATCGACTTCACCGACTCAGTGAAGGATATCAAGGTGTTTGAAAGACAAATGGTTTCACATGATGCCACCTAGCTATTCACAAGCATCCCCCTGACCGAAACAATATGCTTCATTTGAGACTACATCGAAACCAACAACCTAGAAGTTCCTCTTCCCATAGACTATCTGAAGGAACTACTTCTCAGATGTACGTTTAATATACAGTTCAAATTCAATGAACAGTACAGAAAGATGGTGTCGCCATGGGGTCACCCCTCGGTCACTCCTATCCGGACTGCTTCATGGTGAGTCTCGAAAACAACATCCTCTATCCTTTGATAAATCAACTGCAATTATACAGGAGATACGTAGATGATACGTTCATAATGTGTGATGAAAAATCTGATTTAGATTATCTCCTCAAAACGTTCAACGCAGCACACCCATCAATAAAATTCACCTTAGAACGTGAATCGAACAATGAGTTTCCATTCCTCGATGTACTACTTAACAAAAGACACGACTGTACGATCCAAATATCGATATATCTCAAGCCAACATGGACGGGACAGTTTATCAACTTCCAGAGCTTCGTCACACTGATCCGAAAGCGAAACCTGGTACATACATTAAGTTCGAGGATTAGAAATATCTGTTCAAGGGTATGATACAGAAAGAATTAAATTTATAAAGTGAAATCCTACAAGAGAGCGGGTATCCACCATGATTAATAGACAAAAACATGAAAGAGAGACCTCCATCGCCAAACATAGTAACTGTTCCTAAGAAAAATCTCTTCATGAACCTGGAATTCAAAGGTGACATCGCAGCGGAAGATTTCAGAAACCACCTTTCTAAATGTCTGAAGAAAACATTTGCAACAGCCACCTTACGTATCGCATTCTCCAGCAGACAGCTAATCCAGTCTGACGTTAATGATAAATACCGCTTTTGGCAACTTCAATGTGTGTCTATCAATTTACTTGCTCGTGTGGAGCGAAGTATATCGGCCGTACGCAACGTCAAGTCCACAAACGTATTCTAGAACACTGCCCAGCTTGGTTAGCCAGAGGAGAAAAGAAGAATAGCAACCCCTCTATCCTCGAACACAT